CAAGACAGGACTCACTTTTGCTGGGCGCGGTGGTGCACGCCCGTAATCCCAGTGGCTTAGAAGGCAGAGAGGCAGGAGGATCACGAGCTCAAAGCTGGCCTCAGCAATGGCAAGGTGCTAAGCAACTCAGTGAGCCCCTGTCTCTAAATAAAATAGAAAATAAGGCTGGAGATGTGGCTTAGTAGTTAAGTGGCCCTGAGTTCAATCTCAGTACTACCCCACCAAGAAAAAAAAAAAAAGAGATCTGACTCACTTTGGATTATGAGGAACAGGGTGGAGGGGAATTAAAAAGAGCACGTGTCCCCAAATTCTGAGGCCTATGCAATGGAAAAGAGAGAGCGCAACCCCAGAACTGGAGCCTTGGAAGCCACAGGGAGCACAGCCATTCGTTGATTCAACCCACCACTCTCTTTGAAGAGCCTTAACCACCGGGAAGGACAGCGACTCTCATCATGTGACAAAGCAGTGGCAATATTGAGACCAAGACCAAGGTTTCTCACCTCTCTGACAAGTGTTCTTCCTACTGCTTCCTGCACTTGACATTCTTGATCTCTTCCAGAATGGTGTTCCCTCCATGAGACAGCTGGTTGGAGCAGGCTTCCCACACACTACTTGAAGATTTACTATCTGTGAAGGTTCATTCAGCCCTATCTTAGGCCTTAGGGATGGTCACCATCAACCACATATTATGAAAACCATTATTCTAATAGCAACAGCTAACATTTAGGGAGCCCTTAGTTGGTATCTCCTCTGACCCTCATGGTAATCTATGATACTGGTACTGCTACTATCCCTGTTTTACAGATGAGGAAACTGAGGCTAAGAAAAGATAACCAATTCACCAAAGGTTACAAGTCCAGGAAGCGTTACTATAAACCACTTCCTATGCTCTCTACTACTGTTTCACTGCCATCTCCCAAATATATTCATTGTCAGCCTAAATTTAAAACAGAGAGAGATCCTCCAAAGAATGATGATATTTATTTGGGAGGAGCAGAGCACTATAATGGGAATATGCATGCTGTAGTAAACTGTAAGTAGAGTCAAAGGGGTTGAGGCAAGGAGAAATTTTTAAAGACAAAAATGAAGAAGATTGCATCAGATATTTTGAAACAGTAGTCCTTGTTCACGATGATTAATAGCAAGAATGGCGTCCATCTGAGGTTGAACAGTTTCTGGGCAGATGTCCTTGTACAAGTATTTTTTTTTTTTTGTACTGGGGATTGAACCCAGTGGCACTCAACCTCTGAGCCACATCCCCAGCTCTTTTTTTGTATTTTATTTAGAGACAGGGTCTCACTGAGTTATTTAGGGCCTCTCTAAGTTGCTGAGGCTGGCTTTGAACTCATAATCCTCCTGCCTCAGCTCCAAAGCTGCCTGGCATAAAAATACCTTTTTATAAGATCTCAGTGGCCTATGTGCAAGATTGTGGGTCTAGTAGGATCTTTTGTGATAGTTGCTCTCTGGCAAACATGCAGAGGAACCCAACTCTGCCTTCTTCCGTTAGGGTTGACACAAGGGACGGCATTTTGGTTATGATAACTTTCATGCTTCTTTCACATGGTAAAAAACAAAAAAAAATGATCTTTTCAGATACTGTTAACTACCATGAAAGAATAAAGTGTGACCTTGAAGGTGGATCTCCCTCCATCTCTAGGTCATGGGATCTGGGACGAATCCATGAAAAAGGAATGACATCTCCACAGCATCCAGGTGGCCCAGGACTCCACTGTGCCAAGATCTGAGAGTATTAGTATAAGATACGGGAAATGACAAACCCCAAAATAGTGTGGCATGGGAAGAGGGAGGGAGGAAGAAGGCAATACATTGATAACATTCTTTTCCAGTGATAGGACAACCCCTAGAAAGATAGCAAACATCATCCAGTGGCAAAACAATCCCCAGGAAGGAGATAGCCATCGAGCCTAGAATGGCAGTCTCTGGGAAGAAGCCAAAGCATTGATCCTTCTCCAAATAAACTCTTTCCCAATGACAAGACCCTGAAGGGAAAGAGATAAGCACTGAATGCTGACCTCAGACCCTCCACTCCTCTCCAAGTAAAAATATCATCCAGTAAAAACAAATTTCAAATTCTCACAAACCTGTTTCCTAAGTGCCCAAATTGACCTGCTCTGTCCATAATTAAATCACCTCTCAGTGTAACCTATATAAGCACAGACTCCCCACTTTGACCAGGGGCTCATTTTCCATCAGAAAAGTGGGTCCACCAGAGGCCTAACTCCACTGCAGAATAAAGGCTCTGCTGATCCGTGAAGTTTGCACCTGGCTCAGTCATTTTGTGGTAACAAAGAGGGTGTTTTAGACACCAAGAACCATTTGGTATGTTTGTTGGTTGGTTGATTGGTTTTGTTTTTTTCCCCAGGGATGACAGGAAGCCACCAGAAGGTTTTAGTGCAGGAGTGACCTGTTTTGCTGTGTGGTCAGTGGGTAGGAGGGAATCTCAGTGAAGAAGCAGGAAAGAAGATTTTAAATTTCCAGGGAATCTGATAATGGTGGGGGAGGAGGGGAAGATGGTGCAGGATTGGGAAGGGAGCAAGGAGATCTCCAGAATGGCTCTCTCCTTTTGCTCTCACATCCTTAAGTCACCCTCCCTAATAGTATGGATGATATTTGAAAATACAGGAGGACCCCTGATCCCAGCCTGGCCCCCCTGTAGTCCTACCACTCCTGCTTCATGGTGTCAATCAATCTTGGGGGATAAGAAGTAACAGGGTCCAAGGGAGGGAACGTGTCTAAGGTGGAATTTGTCTTCAACTGTCATCAAAAGGGAGTTTTCCTTCTGCCTCCAGGTCAGTCTGTCCCCCACTGTTCTCTTCCCAAAAAAGGCAGAGTGGGTAAACATCCCTTCCTTCCCTAAATCTCCACCCCAGAAGACCTCATGTTTTCTGCTCAGTTGGGAAGTCCTTCCTCTGGTCCTACCATAATCCTTTCTCCTGGGCTCTAGGCTAGATTACTTAGGCAGTGTCAGGAAAGAGGCCAAGTAGGTGAACAAAGGAAAAACAAGTTCTGTGGACCATTTTCTTCCACCTCAGCCCTTTCCCTTCCACAAATCTCCCTGTCTCTCCTTGACCAAGCCCTAACAGGACTCCATGTCTAGGGAAGGAGAGGAGTTGGGTATATGGAGGGCACTCGTGGCTGTTGACAGAAATAACCTTGCTTCCTTGTCTACCTCCCACTCCCATGATGGAGTAGTCAAGAAAAAATGAGAGCAGTGTTCCTCAGGGCCCATCAGCTCCTGGGCCTGTAGCTGCCTGTAAGGCTATTTACCAGTGACCCTGTTGTCCCTGGTGACACCTCTGAAAAATGTTACTGATAGGGCTGGACATGGAGCTCAGCAGTAGAGCATTTGCTTAGCATGCACCAGGCCCTGGGGTCCATTCCTAGCACTGCATAAAAACAAAACAACAGGAAACAAAACCAAACCAAACCCAAAAAACCTTCATAAAGTGGGGAGAAAGAACTTAGAACAAGACTGATAAAAAATAGTCACAGTAGGTTATTAATTAGTGGTGGGTGATCATGCTGTGGCTCTATGTATTGAGGTAGATCCCTAACAGGCTCAGGGTAGCAAAGCTGAGGGTGGGTGTTCCTCCTGACTCCAGAATGGCTGCTTGGAGGCCAAACTCTCCCAGAACTGCAGAGGTGTGTGTGTGTGAGGGGGGAGGTTGACATTTCTATTGAATTCAGTATTTTCAGCAAACCATCCCAGAGCTCCTCTCTGCAGGCTCAGCCCAGCGCCTGCACACAAGTAACTTCCTTATCACGGAGTACAGCTGTCTGCACCTCCTGCCCTGCCCTTCCTTGCCCTCCCCTTCCCTGGGAATTTGCTGCCCCCTAGGCCTCAGGCATCGCCATCTTCCCCAAACCCTGTGAACTCTCCAATCTCTGAATTTTATTGTCTGGTAAAATATTCCTGCTTTTCCTTGGGGAGTCCCCTCTGTACCTTCCCATTGTGGGCAGGCTAAGCCCAAGAGGGAACTTGTGACTCCAGGGTCTCCTCATTTCCCGTTTTTTTTTTTTTTTTTTTTTGGTACTGGAAATTTAAAGCAGTTGTACTTAACCACTGAGCTACATCTCTGGCTCTTTTTTATTTTATTTTAAATATTTTTATTTGTAGGTGAAAACAATAACTTTATTTATTTTTTATGCGGTGCTGAGGATCGAACCCAGTGCCTCACACATGCTAGGCAAGCGCTCTACCACTGAGCCACAACCCCATCTCCTATTTTATTTTTTTTTAATCTTTGAGACAGGGTCTCATTAAATTGCTTAGGGTCTTGCTAAATTGCCAAGGCTAACCTTGAACTTGGCAATCCTCCTGTCTCTGCCTCCAGGTGTCTGGGATTCCAGGCATGTGCCACCATACCTGGTGGGGTTCTCCTTTTGTTGGGTACTTCCAGTCCCCCACCACAGAACCTCCTTCCAAATCTCCATGACCTCTCTCAGGGCTGTCGGTCCTGCATTGCTTGGCTGGACACATCCTCCCGCCTGGTCAGCCATAGCACCTACCTGGTCTCCCCAGCCCAGACCTCTCCCATGGGTGGGGTCCCTTCCCAGAGTCTATGTGGCCTCCAGGGACCTTGGAAGGGTAGCACTCAGCTCTTGGCAGAGCACAGGAAGCCGGACCAAAGTTTTTTTACCCAGCAGATGAGTCTCCCACAGCCCCAGTGTGCATATTCAGAATCACAAGTCTCCAAGCTCAAGTCCACGGAAAAGTCTCATAACCCACCCTGAAGACCTTATGGGATGGCTAGGGTGCTTAGCAGGTTCTCCATGAATGGCCATCATTGCTATTCTGACTGGCCAGGCAAAGTTCCCTTAGAAGGATATGGGGATCCAGAGCTGGGACCCCTGCTCTCTACAAACAGATGCAGGGCTTCCTCCCATACACATCTGGGCCCCCAGCTCAGGTACCCCTTTTTCGTAGCCCACCCAAGCCCCCCTTATTACCTCTTCTGTTCACAAGCAAACTCTACATATACTCAGAAACATTTGATATTTATTTCTCAATATTTTGTTATTATTTTTTTTTTTTACAAATTGAATAAACACAATAAAGGGGAATATGTGGGGCCCCAGGCCTGGCCTTGGGCTCCCCTTGAGATGAGAGGTGACAGTATGGAAACACCTCCTCATCCATAACTTCTGGCCTGCTGCCCTGATCCCTCCTATCAACCTTACCCAAGAGAAAGGTGGGGGCTTTCTGAGGTTCTGAGGTTCTCCCTAGAGGGGACTTCGGGCATCCTGCTTTAGGCCCTGCACTGATTCAAGCTGGGAAGAACTGTGGGTCCTGATGTGATGCCGTCTGTGTCTCTCTTGCCTGCGGGCCAGCTGCCGCAGTTGTTTCCGAATGGCCCAGAGCACCAGGTACACTTCCCGCAGCATCTCAGCCTCTGGGGTCTCCAGGGGGGACTGTCTCCTTAGCTGGGAGGTCACTGAGGTCGAACTCACAGATGACTGTAAAAGAAAGAAAGAAGCCCACGTGTCTTGGGAGAAAGCGCCCTGGGTTCAATCCCTGGTGTGCAGACACACAGCAAAGGTCTGAGATAACCCATTTCTCCTATCTGGCTGGCTCAGACGGCGCCCCTTCCAGGAAGCCTTCTTAGCTTGTATTAGGTTTTCATTCCCTCTAACCTTGAGTGTGTCCCGTGGACTCTTCTGTTTTCTCTACTAGACTGCAACTCCCAGAAAAACAGCTACCAGTTCAGACCTACCTTTGAGTCCCCCGTTCAGGGTTTCATGGAGAGGGTGTTAAAATGAAGGACAGAATGAATGACACCTTGACTCTCTCTCCAGCCCAAAGCTCATTCCAGAACTCTGTGCCTCTATGTCCCACTGCCTCCAGGACACCTCCTTGCAGATGTCTCACCAACAACTTCAGCACCTCTAATCATCTCCCCGTCTCTCCCTCTCCCTGTGACCTCCACCCAACCAACCTGGCCCAACCACCCTACCACCCAAATATTGCTCAGATCCATTAACCTGTTGACCCGATGCCCTTCCCTGAGTCCAAAACATCTTTCTCTTTGGACTGGATGGTGCCAGCCTCCAGGGCATCTGGTCCTCTCTGACTGCCCTCCCCTTCAGCCAGGTGAACTTTTAAAATGATTATTAACGCCGTCATACTTGATTCAAGGCCAAAATTAGTGGATTTGGTAGTGACCTTGACGTTTTTCCTTTTTTAAAATTAAACTTTTTAGCTGGGTGAAGTTGCGCATGCCTGTAAACCCAGTGACTCCAGAGGCTGAGGCGAGAGGATGGCAAGTCCAAAGGGCCAGTCTCAGCAACTGAGCCAGGCCCTAAGCAACTTAGCAAGACCTTGTCTTAGAATAAAATATAAAAAAAGGTCTGGGGATGTGGCTCAGTGGTTAAGCACCCTGGGTTCAATCCCTGGTACCAAAAATAAGCAAGTAAATAAATAAATAGTATATTAAATTAAATTAAACTTTGAATTTAGAGGCAATTATAGATTGACATGCATTTTAAGAGATAAATATAATCCTGCATATCCTTTACCCAGTTTCTCTACATAGGAAAATCTTGCAATATCAAAGTCTGGAAATTGACATTGATACAAGCCACTCACTTTATTTAGCTTTATTAGTATTCATGTGTGTGTGTGTGTGAGCGCGTGTGCTTGTACATGTTTAATTCTACAAAATTTTGTTACAGGTATAGGTGTATGTATCCAAACAACCACAATCAAGATCCTGATCAGCTATCATCACAAGGATTCTCCTGTTGCCCTTTTATAAGCACCCCACAATAACCCCTAACAAACATTAAACCACTATATGAGTTTTCATTTCTACAATTTTGTTACTTCAAAAATGGTATTATCCAGGCATGGTGGCACACACCTGTAATCCCAGCGACTTGGGAGGCTAAGGCAGGAGGATCGCAAGTTCGAGGCCAGCCTCTGCCACTTAGTAAGACCCTCAGCAACTTAGCGAGACCCTGTCTCAAAATAAAAAAATAAATGGAAAAAAAAGAACTGTGGGTGTAGTTCAGCAGTAAAGTGCCCCTAGGCTCAATCCCTAGTACCAAAATATTAATAATAAAAAATAAAAAATAATGGATTATCATACAATGGAATCATACAGTAAAGAACCTTTTGGGGTTGTTTTCATTCAGAGCATTTCCTTTGAGATTCATCCAATTCATCATTCATCATGAATTGATGTCGTATACATCAACAGTTTGTCCTTTGTATGGTTGAGTGGTATTTCAGGATGCTATAGTTTGGACTTGTTTTGAGCATGTACCCACAAGGGTTCATACGCTGGAAGCTTGAATCCCAGTTAGGGTGATGTTGGAGCTCATGGGACCTTTAGGAGATAAGACCTAAAGGAAGATGATTTAAGGCATTGGGAATATACCCCAAGACAGGATTAAGGCAGTTCTTAAGAGTGATCCTGATCCTTGAGTCCTTCTGGCTTCCTATCTTGGCAATGTGTTCTCTTCCACACACACTTCTGCCATTGTGATGGCATCTGCCTTGAAACCCTCACCAGAGGCTGAACACACAGTACCACCTGATCTGGACTTTTGTAGCTAAACAAACCTCTTTTCTTTATAAAGTATTCCAACTCAGGTATTTTATTATAGCAACAGAAAACAGAGTAATATACAGGTATGTGTATATCACAGTTCAATCATTCATCCATTGAAGGACATTTGGGTTGATTTGGGCTATTACAGATAAAGCCATGAACAGTCACATATAGACATTTGTGGGAACATGAAGTTGCATTTATCTGGGATAAATGCCCAGGAGTTCAATTGCTGGGTCATATGATAATTGTGTATTTAGATTTATAAGAAACGTTAGTGTTCTTTTCTAGATTGTCTGCACCATTTTCTAGTTCCAGCAGCCATGTGTGAGTGCAGGGGAGCTTTTTAAATCAAAACTTGATCATGTTGCTCCCCTGTTCAAATGTCTTCAAGGGCTTCCATTGCTCTTAGGGTTAAGTACAAATTCCACAACTTGGTCAACCTCTGCCTTGTACAAACTAGCCCTTCAGCCAGGATTGCTCCACGCACCTCAAACTACCATGGCACACACCTGCTATCCTCTTTTCACAGAACACCCCTCCCTTCCCTTCCACCTTGTCCTAACAACACATCCCAAGGCAAGTGAACTCTTTCAGGTCTCAGCCTCGCCGTCTCTTCTGCAGGAAGGCCTTCCTTGATTCTCTGGGTTTGGGTACCCACAGTTCCCCCCCACTTCCTATGACATACCCCTCAGGATACAGAACAAATCAATGCTCATGATCTTTTCTATGGTCCCATCCCAGGTCTGGATAAATCTTATCCACTATCGTATCCTCCATGCCTGGCCACAGAGGAGGCACAGGAAATGTTGAACAAGTGTGTGGAGGGAAGAAAAGGTCCCTGGGGGTTGGGGACGGTGAAGAAATGCTAACCTTCCACCTGCACATCTGCCAGCCACTCTGCAGGGCGGATAACATGAGTGTGGAGACGGACTGGACAGCTGTCTGGGGCAGTCGTAGCAGGGAGCGAGGCTCAGGGCCCAGCTCCAGCTCAGTCTCGTCCACGGTTTCGTCCATGGTTTTCGCCAGCACGTAGGCCTCAGCCACCTCAGGGTGCTCTTCCAGAGTGGTGACCTTAGCCTCTTTGGGGGGTTCGATCAACTTGACAGTGTCCAACTCCATAGTCTCCTCCACCCCCTTGATTTCTTGTTTCTTGGAGTCAGTGGGTTCCAAGATGATTAGCTTAGCTCTGCGTCTCCACTGAAGAACCTGAGAAAGAAGACCCATGAGAGGCAGGAGATGGGGGGCCGGCAGGAGCAGCAGTCAAGGGGAGAAAAACACCCAGGGAGGGGTATAAACCCCGAACCCTGCCTTTTTCCCCTCAAGCCCCTCCCTGGATCTCTAAGCCCTGGCCATCTCCCATAGATTTAGTTTGGCCACAAAAGATGGAGGCCACGTGGTGGTGGTGGGGCACTAGCATCTAGAAGTGACCAGGACTCTCAGCCCAGCACCAGGAGGACCAGGCAGGATGTGAAACTCACCCAACAGGTCATTCTTTGCCAAACTCGTCTGATCCAAAAGATGAACCTCATGATCACAGCCATCGTTCCAGAACCCCAAGTAGGGACAGGGCCAACATGTGGGACGGGGAGAGGGACAGGCTTTTGGGCACTGGATGACACACCACAAGGGTCTTGTAGGAGCTGAAGAGTCTCAAGCACAGCAGGGAAGGAAGGAATAGGAAATCTAGGGGCAAAGATCTCTTCAGCAACTCATCCCAGGTCCTTCCTCCCCTCCCTGGGACAGGGAGAGGAGTCAAAGTGCAGAAGAACCTAGGGTGACAGAGAGTTCTAGTCCATTGTGAGAGCCACCTGGCCCTGGTCCCAACCCCCGAGGCCCTTCCAGGACCCACGGAGCTTATGGCCTCGACTCTTCTTGCCACCAATCCAGGGAAAGGAAAGTGACATTGACTGAGTGTCTGGTATGTGCTAGGCGTTTTCCTTGTACTGGGCCACGTGATCCTCAAAACAGCCCTTCAAGATTGATGTGACTGTCAGCACCACTGTATACCCATGAGAAATCCGAGATTCAGAAAATCTGGAGAATTTGTCTGAGACTGTAAATCTAAGGAGCTAGAAGGCAAGGGGCCCAACCCAGGTGGGCCCTGGAGGACCGGCTTCTCCACACCTCTCCCCTCGGGTCAGGGTCTCCTGTGGCTCCTCTCAGGGTTCCCCTCAAGCTGCGACTGCTGCTTCTTCCCGCTCCCCCACTAGATGGGGTCTTTCTGGCTGGCTGCTGCTTTCTGCCCGGGACCCAAGCCCAGGCTGCCAGGGAGGGGCCTGCTCACCCACAGGGCCTGTCCTCAGCCAGCTGGGGGTGGAAGCCAGGCCTGGTGAGGGCACTGTGTGCCTGGGGAGCCTGGCCCACACCCAGCCTTGAGACAAGGGGCCCATTCAGGGCCCCCCGCTCCACCCCCAAGCAGCTACCCGGATCCAGCCCGCAGAGGGGACACGCTGGGAAGCTGGGGGTGGATCCTGAACAAACACCAAAGGCCTCATTGTTTCTCTCCCCCCACAGCACGTGGGCAGACGCCGCCCCCCACCCCACTCCTCTGCCCGGCCTGCCTGCCCCCTTCCCAGGACCCGAACCACTGACTCCCATTTCCTGCGCCTCTGTCTACCATTCTGCCTCGGCCACGTGACACCTCCCCAGCCTTGACAGGATCTCCAGGGGAGCTCAGGCCGCGGGAGCGGGCCTCCACACAGATCTGGACACAAGCAACGCCATGCCAACCTCCAAATTCAAGTTTCTTCAGATTTTTTAATTATAATTATTATTTTAATAACAACCTGAAACCCAGAACTTCCAGACACTGTCCATATGCCCTCCCCTGGGCAGTGGAGAGGGAGCACTTTGAGGGGAACAAAGTGTGGGGGGGATTGTTGCCAGGGAGCCTCCGACTCCCCCAAGCCATCTACTGCTGGGGAACCCAGAACACTGACACCCAGGGAGGGAGGGGGCTGGGATCTCTCATGGAGGGGGCTCCATCTAGCACCCCATTCCGAGCCCTCCCCCCTCCATCGAGACCTGAGGACCAAGGCGGGGACGGGGGCAAGGCGGGGAACAGGCCAGTACTGACAGTACTGAGCCTGAAAATCCCATCCCTGGGGGTCAGGGGGCATTAAAGCTGCATAGGAAGAGGGGGCAGGCTGCTGGCGCAAAGCCTGGCGACCATGGCAGCCCCCAAAGGCACATTGTGAGGGAAGGGAGGCTCAGACGGAGGGCCCGTTGGGCGCAGGGGGCCCAAGCCGTGGGAGCCCCGAGGAGGGCAGCTGTGCCAGCTGCTCTGGGCTGGCCAGGGCACGCAGCAGTCCGTTCTCCTGCTCCAGCGCGGCGTTCCGCTCTGCCAGGTCTCGGATCTGCTCCTTCAGCACCTCCACCTCCTCCCGGACCGCAAACATGAGGTGGGACTTTACCAAGTCCTGGGGGTCCAGGGACAGGCAAAGAGTCAGGGCCGCCAGACCACCCCATCGGGAGTGCCTGAGGGTGTGTGGCTGAGACACTCCCCTGTGTCAAAGGAGGAGGGGCTCTGGGGAAGGAAGGGCATGAGGCAGAGGGTAGGGGGCAAGGCTACCAGCAGGGGCAAGGGCAGGGGGGCAGGGCTCACAGACAAGGATGGGGCTGGGGGCTGGTGTTGGTAACAGGGAGAGTAGGGGTGGGCAAAGGGACTGCTAAAGGGAGCCAGGGCCTCCTGGCACCAAGATGTCTTCTCTTACCATGGCTTGTTCGATCTTGTTGTCAATGCCAACCAGGCTTCCGGAGCCGCTGGAGAGACACAGGGAGGTGAGGGGTGAGGAGGGGGCCAGGCATCTGCACAGCCTAGCCACTGCCTTCCTCGCGACAGGCTCTGGCCTCCTCTCCAGCCCCCTGGTGACAGCCCATAGCCCTCCTGTACCTGTGACAGTAGAGAATCAGGGGGAGCAGGGTTTTGTCCATTCCCCGGCGGGGTGAGGGCCGCTGCCCAGGGCCCCCCAGGCCCCGGTGGGGCGGGGGTGCAGGTGCCCCTCGGATTGGGGATGCTCCCCGTGGGGAACTAGGGGAGGAGACACAGCCCCTTTTTCGGGGTGGCCCCGGAGCCATCCCCACTACTCTGGTCTCGAAAGAGGACACCAGGGATTTGACAGAGACCCCTGGCTGGGCCATCCCTGAGGGGAGAGAATCCTCAGGGTCCCCCAAAAGGAGAAGGTTGTATTGAAGGAATGCTCGGGGGGCTCAGAGCCCCCCGGCAGAGCGGGGTCTGGCTGGTGCCAGGCAGGCAGAGAGGAGACGGGGCCTAGGGGGTGCTGTCCTGAAAGATATACTACACCGCCCCCTAGGGCAAGGACCGGCTGCTATTGGCTCCTCAGGGACACGGGGACCCCCCTCCCACAGCTCCACAGTGGGCGGGAATTCCCAGACACGATCAGTGCCAGTGTCCCCTTCTCACCCTGGCGCCCATCCCAGAGCAGAGGGGAGGGGGCAGTGGAGGGAAGTCAGCTGGTGGCCTGGATCGGGGGAGGGGCTGAGGGGCGAGATGCCTGGGTTGAGGAGGGGTGGGAAGGTGAGATGGGCCCTAGGAATCATCTCCCCACCTGAGGCCTTCCTGCCCACTCTGGGCTATGACTGGCCTCCCTTGAGGCCTTAAGAAAAGGAGAGAAGGGTGGCGGGAGACTCTGATATACTTGTGTGCTCCCCCACAAACACAGAGCCGGCATCACAGGTGACTCTGAGAACCTGGGCCAAGGGTCTCCAGCATCCATAGTGAAGAAGCGGAATGGGAATGGTTACTATGACAATGGAAACCTAGATCTGACCGCTGTGAATCAAATACAGCTTAAGGATCTGGACCTGGGTCTGGGGTCTTCTTGGAAGGAGGCAGGGCTTGAGGAGAGGTAGGAAGGTAAGGTTTGCGTTGGGACTTTTGAGCAGAGCCTTTGAACAGAGCTAGGAAGAACAGGACAGGGAGCCAGGGGCAGTCCTGGCTGCAGTTTTCTAAATGGCCACCAGAGGGAGACTCAAGCCTGGCCCAAAGGTCCCTTGGGACTGGCTCCTGATTGGCCCCGGGGCAATGGCTCTTAATCCCAGAATCTATAGATCTCCTTCAAACCCTCTGGTGGTCCAGGGCTTGCATAGAACTTTGATCCCTGCCCCATCCTCCAGGGCTCCCTCTTCCACCACCCAGGCCCCAGGCCCCTGCCTCAGCCTATAGTTCACAACCCACACTAACCAGCTTCCACCTTGGCCCCTGTCCCCTTTTGGAGAATCACCAGTCCTGTCCCCCCAACCCCCGCACTGAGCCTCTCAGAGTCAGGGCCCCACTACATTGTATCCCATGTGCTGCTGCTCCCCATAGGCCCTCCCTCCTGGCTGTCAGCTCCAACTTGCTTCCCTGTGGGGGGACCAGCACTCAATCCAAGGTGACCCTGGCCTGAGAACCTGCTGCCAGGAAGGGAGCTTGAGAGAGCTGGGAATTTTCCATTTCCTTTCCAAGCTCTGGGTGCAGAAGGCGCTGACAGGTAGAGCAACCAAGGGGGTGACCAGGCCCAGGAAAGCAGAACAAGTAGTGAGCAAGGACACCTGGGCCTCCAGGGGACAGTAGGGACAGTAGGGAAGGGCGGGCCAATCGGTATCAAAGCAGTTTTCCATCCATCACACCTGGGTGGAGCCTGGGCCACCACAGAAAACCCAATACCCTCCCCTCCCCAGCACATACAGACAGACACCAGAGAGGGACAGATACACAGAAATAGGAGCACCAGTCGGGCCTGGCAGACACTCAGGCAAAGATGCCAAGGAAGTCAATCATTCTCACCAGAAATCAAGGCCTAATACAACAATAAACATTTGTTGGCTGATAGATGACTATCTCCTGTTTGTCTAGCGCTGCTGAGTTTTTGACAGGACTTCCCCTGTGACATTCTAACATTAACACTTCAAGGGACCAGAACTCTGACAACCCAAGCCCATCCTCTGAGAACCCTTGAGTGAGGGGACCCTTTGCTAGCTAGTATTCCTAGGCCAGGTCAGGAGCAGGAAGTTGGGGCTGGCCACATAGGACTGGCCCTCACCACAGGCCCCAGAGCAACTTGGTGTGAATCAAAACAAACAAACAAAAAAAACCCTTCCTCAAGACACTTATTGCATCTTCCAGAACATTCTCACGACTTCAAATGTGGACTGTGACTTCTAATTTTGAGGCACCCCCTGGAGTTGTGTCATGCATGACATGTATAACTGGGGACTCCAGCCCCACAGGACTCTTGGGTCCTGAGGTGAGGACAGTCCCAGAAGCTGGTCTTCCCCTTTGAAGGTCAAATAAAACAATTTCAACATGAGAATCAGATGAAGATATAGGGCATCTGGGAGAGGTGAAGAGGTTCGGATTCCAGGAACAGGGACAAGCCCTGCTCCCTGATGTCTTCTAGGAGCCCCCAGGGTCTGGGCCTAAAGTCAAGAAAGTGGCATCCGGCTGCCCTGTCTACACTCCCTCCCGGATCTGTGATGTCTTTGGGGGTGGAGCCAACCCACGGAGGGGGGGGGGCTGGCTTGACCCACTTGGGTGAGCTGTCCCTGCATCTGTCCTGGAGAGAGGACATCCTAGAGACAGTTGCCACCTCCTGTAGCAGAGAGGGGAGAGCATGGTTGAAGGTAGTCAGACCCCCACTGCAGTCCAGCCACACACTGGCTCGGTGACCTTGGGCAAGTATCTAAAACTCTCCTGCGTCTCAGTGTCCATCTGGAAGCTGAGAGGTGGAGATCATGGGATTGCTTTTAGGGTTACAAAAGATAAGAGACAGTACCAGACCCAAAGGACAGCACTAGGCAGAGAAATGTACTTTTTATCCCCAAGTCCCTGGGATGCAATCCCTCAATGCCTGGATCCTCCAGATTGGCCATCTACTGTCACACCTTAACCAAGTAGTTCCCATCTGCTAGGCCCTGTGGGGGACACAGAGGATCTTCAACCCAGGAGCCTGTGGACAGTCTGAATCCATCAGGCACTCTCTGTTCTCCCACCCCAGATTTCGAGGACTAAAAAGGCAGTGTCCAGGATCCAGACACCTAACATCCCAGCCCACTTTCCCTCTCAAAAGGGAGGTCCCATGCCACTTGGACCCTGGTTTCCTGCCAGTTCCAAGAACACCAGATAAGTGACATGGGGTCTACACACCCCATTCCTAGGGGGCAGGGGATAGCCCAACCCAAACCCGCTGGTCTAGCAGGGTGGGGTCCAAGGGGCTGGGCTGGGCCAGAGCCCCAGAGCCTTGGAGCCAGGCAGGGTAGAGTGGAGGCTGGGAGCTGGACCGGTCAGACTAGGGTGTGCAGAGGGGGTGGGACAGAGGGAGAGAGGGAGGGGACAAGTCAAAAGAATAGAGCTGAGAAGGCCTCTGAAGGCAGAACCCTCTAAGGCAGAGAAAGCCAGAGGCTGAGCTATGAAATCAACAGGGGTGGAGGAGGGACAGGGAGCTCTTTTGCCAGGGAACCTCCCAAATGGGAGGGGGAGAGGGTGGGAAGCGCTGAGAATAGCAGCAATGGGGGCAGGTGACTCTCTGGGCCCTGGCCGACCTCACACCTCACACATTCCTGGGAGCCAGCTGGGAGTGAGTACAGAAGCCACTTTGCCTTGTCCTGCCCTGCCTAGAACCAGCCCCTCACCCTCCATCCCAGGGGCTCCTGGCTGCTCCAGTCCTCTTCTTTGGGCCCCCACTCTGCCCAGTGCCCCTGGTCCTGTTTTTATGTGGGTCTCAGTCTCTGATTCCAGGGGGTGGCACTACCTTAGGAGAAAATAGGAAGGCGCAACTCCATCTGGAATGGGTCCCTCCAGCACCCACTCACCCACTAGTGAAGTCCCACCCCTTATTTCCTTCCAAACAGGAAGTCCCTCCCCACAAGGCCTCCAACAGGAAGTCCCACTCCTCCCTCCAATAAAAGTAGTAGCTCCCTAGCCCTTCTCCTGGGTTCCTATCAGTCCACAGCCAGAAATTAGCACCCTAGCCATCCGACTCAGGATTTTGTTCCTCCCTTTTCAGCTGGCTGACATTCCTGTGAATGTTGAAACCTGGCCCTCAAAACCGGAAGTCCTGCCCACTCTGCCACCGAACAGTGCATTCTATCCTAAAGGGCAAAGCCAAAAAGTCCTGCCATCTTGGGCCATCCTTGCTGCCAGGCAGCTGTGCCATGGAAGGGCTCGGCCTTCATGGTATTCCTAGCTCTTGTCTTCTGACCACATCCCTTCAGGGAACAGAATTTTAGAGTAATGCTTTCTAGGTACTCAAAGTCTTAGGACCCTAAGGGAGTCTGGATGGACTATAAGGAAGTCCCAGGATAATCCATGAGGATCCGAAAGTATACTACTGCCCTTGCTGGTAGGGGCAGAGAGACTGGGAGGAGACTGATTCCCTATTCTCATCTCTAGTGTCCTTGCCAGCGGGTTCCTAGGGTTGAGCAGATGTTCTGTAAATCTGCAAGAGTTCTGGAATTTGACAACAATGACTCCCTTCAAACTCTAAAAAAGTCCCTGATGTGACAGTCCTAAGTCAGGGAGTCCCACCCAGCTCTTTCCACTGGGAGGGAGTGGATCCCAGATCAACTTTGCTCAGTGGTTATGCCCAGGCCAGCTCTCTCTGTTCTCCAAATTCACCTCCCAGGACTGACAAAGGCCAGCAGCATCATAGAGCTGCCCTCGGTGCCTAAAACTGAAGTTCCACCACATGGAGCCCACCTACCTATCGTCATCGCTGTCCAAGTGACCACTGATGGCCAACATGGAACGGGCCAGGCTGAGGCTCTGGGCTGCTGCTGCTCCAAAGGGGTCTGGAGACTTGTGAACCAGACTGGCATCAAAGTAGAGGGCCGGGGAGCTGGGGCGGGAGTCAAATGGGGGCACCTAGAAGCAGAGGTGGGAACCATCACGTTGAGAGAGAAATTGGCCTAGTGGTCCTCTTTCCTTCCCACCTCCCCCACTCCTTCCTAAGGAGCCAGGACTCCTGTCCCCAGCAGCCCTTCCCTCCTTCAGCCCTGACTGAAGGCCTTGGGGTTACAGAAGCAAGGAAAAACAGCATCACCTCAGGACTGGGGAGTGTGACTTCTGGGGTATCAGAGAGGGGCTCTGGTTTGCATTTGGGAACTTCTTGCCCTCAGGACCTCTAATTAGAAACTACTCAGAATATCTGCAATATATCATTGACCTTCTTAAAGCCACTCAAATGTCACTTCCTTAGAGGCATTTCCCCACCGTTCACAAGTCTAGTAAACTGTGTCACTTTTTTATAGCACCTAATATTATCTGAAATTAAAGTATTTATTGTGTCTCCCCTACTAGAAGGTAAGTTTGTTCTGTAACTATTTGTAGAATGAATAAATCCTCAGAAACTAGTCCTCCACCCCCCACCCCGACTCCAGCTTCTCCTCTTAAACTTCTCAGGCTTCAGGTGAAGTTCAACAACTGCTCTCTGCCCTGCTTTGGGGTTGGGGGACATTGTGGAGGTGGGGGAAGGAGGAGCCTGGGCGGGGACCACACAGCCCAACAGGCGCTGGGGGGTGGCTGCAAGAGGGCGGGGGCGACAGGAACAAGACAAGACGCCTCTGTGAGGCCCGGGGAGGCCCTAGCTTCTCGGAAAAGCCAAGAACAGAGAGTCCAGGGTGGTTAGAGGGACAGAGCAAAGGGGGGCCCAGGTGGTGCCCCTGACCTTCCTTCACCTTCCCCTGGCCTCTGCTGGAGGCATGGAGGGGGAAGAGACATGGGACACTAAAAGGGAGCCAGACTTTTGGGCAGGGAAATAGCGACACAGTTGCATGCACACAGGAAACGATCAGGACATGGCAGGGCGGAAGGAAGGGGGTCACTGGCACTGAGGGGAGAGGAGCAGGGTCTGCAGAACCCAGAGCAGCTCAAGCAGACTTAAGATTGGTGAGCAGAGGGGGGCTTGCTCTAGAAGAGTCTGGGGTCAGGGACTAGAGAACTACAACTTCTCTCCTGGGGTAGGAACTGAATGGAAGAGCTTCAGAAAGGTGGGGGGAGAGGGGGGGTGTTGTAAGTGCAGAGGTCATGAAAGGGAGTTGGAGGCCACGAGGGGTGGGGGGAGCCGGTCCTGACTGGTCCTGACAGGGCCCAGACATCCAGGCTGGGGATATTTTTACACTGTGGTTTGTGCCCAAGGCCAGGAAGGGGAAAGAGCCCTCATCCTAGAACTCCCTGCCCTTCCTCCAGCAGCCCAAGGTGTTATTTTTTCCTCCAGGGCAGAAGCATCCAACCTTCACATCCCTGGCAGCCCACCCCCTACCCCAGGGACCCAGGCATCCTGCCCCCAGCCCAGACTTGTTCCTCTTTTGGAGACAGGAAGCAGAAAGAAGTAGAGGATTTAACTCCTTCCTTCCTGCTTCCCAATATTCTCCCACTCCACTGTGGTGAAGTCACCTCCAGCTGTCAATCCTGGAGAGGCCCAGGTACACAGGACTCAGAAAGATGACCAGGGTGGAAAAAGACAACCAACCAGCACCCCACCCACCGATTCCTATAAAAAGTGCCCCCCACCCAAATCCTTGGTTTCTCAGAAAAAACATGGCTTGCTGCAAAGCGAGAGATTGGGCTGGGCTGGGAGGCTGGTGGGAAGAATGAAGACCCCCGTGTCCAACACAGGGCTGCAATGGAAAGACTCACAATGGAATGCCTACCTTTTATGGCCACCCCAAACCCTGGCAGCTCCTCCCTCAGAGGCCCAGCCAAGCACCCAGGTGGGGCCTCCTCCCTCATCACCTGGAGCCAGGGGATAGAGACCAAAGCAAATGGTGAAGGCTGAAGTGAGCCTCCAATAGGCTTTATGGAAACAATCAAGGGCCAAGGCAACAACTTAAAGACCAAGGAGAGAGAAAGAAGGTGTAGAATGTAGAAGAGAAGGAGCCTGGAAGATAACATAAAGGAGGGTCGGACTTCAAAGTGTGATGGCAGGGAGAAAAAAGAGGAGCGCTCTGACCTACCTGACAGACGTGTCAGTGGAGCTGGGGAAAGCAGGATGGAGGAGAGGCAAGGAGGCTCAGGATAGGAGTTAGGCCTACTAGGCCCAGAACTAAACACAGCCCCTCGGGTGTTTCTCTCAACCTGGAATTCAATGCTTACCTGCCCTGTCTCCTCTGGAGGAACCAACTCCATCCTCAGCCGTTGGGCTCCATCTCTCCTCCGGGACAGTGGAGGGGTCCCAGCTGCGGACCCCCCAGCCTCTACCTCCACCCTCAGGGAGGGCAGGGGTGTGGCAGCCAGGGATGTGCCCGTGCTATCCCCAGTCCCAGGCTCTGGGGGGCGCTGCTGGGGTGGGGAGGCTGATAGGAGGGGTGTCTCCGCCTTGGCCTTGCCAGGAACCGCCAGCTGGCCCAGTCCCCCAGTGAAGGAGCGGGCTTGAGGTCCAGGGGAGGTGGGGGGTGGGCGGAGCCAGGAGGTGGGGCCCTGAGACAGGCCTGACTGTGGCATGGGGGCACCCAGGCCCAAGCTGGCCAGCTCCAACCTGGAATCCAAAGATCTGCCCCCAGTGCCCCCCGAGGCCCCTCGAATTCCCTCCAAGAGGCGGCTGAAGCTCGGGGGCTCCAGGTCTCTCTCGTAAACATCCACACACGTCCAACGACCTCGGCGATAAGGCTCTCCCAGGCCGTGGGGCAGCTTCACCACCCGGAAACGGGAGGCAGGGGCCCCAGGTGGTGGGGAGCCATTCCGGGGGGTGCTCCTGCCCCCTGGATCAGGGTTGGGCTCCCCGTTGGGAAGGCGTGGTGGGGGCCCGGTGGGGGCCGTCGAAGCAGGGGAATCTGAAGCCCCTGGGCTCCCTGGGCCCTCGTAGTCCGTGGTGACGCTGGTGATTTGGAAACTGCTCTTCTTCTTGCCCCCACTCATGGTCCCTGGGGCTCAGAACGAGTAGGGGTGGGGGAGGGGCTGGGCTCCTAGAAGGGGCTCAGGCACCCCTGGAACAGGGGGGCCACATGGCGGGGGCATCAGGGCCCCTAGTGACGTCTGGGTCCGACATGGTAAGAGGGCCTTGAAAGAACTGGGGGTGCCTGGTTGGGGACGGGAGAACAGGGGAGGAGAGGTGGCGGGAGGGGGGGGCAGGGGCAGGGGCAGGTTTTTCCTGCTGCTGTCGCTGCTGAACTCCAGAGCTGAGTTTGCAAACTGGAAAAAGAGAGAGAGTGTGTGTCAGAGAGAGAGAGAGAGAAGAGAAAAAGCAGTGGGCAGGCCACCTCCGGGGCTTCCTCTCTGGGGAGCAGAATGGGGGAGGAAGGGGAAACCGCCAGAGACCCAGAGACAAAGAGACAGGCAGAGATGACAGACACCAGAATAGAGGGGACAGGACCTAGAGGGCATGCAGAGCAGGAAGAGGCAGATGAGAGCCAAAGTTGAGCATTTCTTGCCAGGGATTCAAACTCACCGGACTGAATTGTCCGGAGAGCCCGGGACTCCCGGACCTGGGTGAACCGGGTTGAAGCGACTCCTCGCCTGGCCAGGCCACCTGGAGACCTCTCCTGGGCCTCCAGGACCCCCACCTCGGCTCCCATATCCCTGGGACAGGCCCTGCCCGCCACCCCAAGCGCCCCGCCCAGCCCCTAGACCTACCTCTCGGGTCTCAGTCACCGAGCTGAGCCAGGGGTCTCAGCGACTAAGATGTCGGGCTGTCCTTCTCCTGGGGCCGCCTGTCCCCGGTCAATGCGGGGGACGCAGGCAGCGATCAGGAGCTGCCCGGAGTTCTTCGGAGGCCGCACCTCATCCTGCGAGGCATCTCCGTGGAAAGTTTGCTGTCCAGAAAAGAAGGAACCCGCGCCTCGGAGGAGGAGTCCAGGCGCGGCCTCTGCAGCCCCACGGGTCTCCCGACGGCTGTGGGAGGGGGCGGCTCAGCCCCCAGCTGCTCCAGGTGGCAGCGGGTCTCGGCGGTCCCGGACAAGTGGGTCTCCCAAGGCTTTTCCCGCGTGGCCCTGCTGGATCCGTCTCTTGGTTCCTCAGCTCTTCTCGGTCTCTGTCTCTGTCTTTCTCTTTCTGGGCTGTTGACAACCCCCACACCAGGAAGTCCTGCCTCCTCGGGCCTGCTCACAGCTCCTCTCCTCCTCCTCCTCCTCCTCC